AGTGAGAGGCCCACGTACCGAAAAAAAAAAAAAAAAAATACAGTAAGGATTTCTGTTCAGTGAAGGAAGGACTCCATGGACAAAGTTAATAATTTGGTGGAATGAGAGAAGATATTTGAAACCAATAAGAGATTAATATCTAGAACATACAAGAAAATCCTGCAAACAAAAAGGAGACTGTAACCTGACAAGAAACATGGGGAAAAGATACGAATAGGGAAGTTACAGAAGAGTCAACCTCCCACACTTCAGAGAAATAAGAGATGCTTAGAATCATTAGTAATCAGAGAAATGCAAATTAAAGCAACAATGATATACCACTTTATACCTATTATACTGCCCAAAATTAGACAACTGGATAATGGCAAACATTGGCAGAGACACTGAGATGCAGGGCCCCTCAGGTGGGAGGGTAGACTGGTTTCCAGAGGACAACCTGGCACTACTTGGACAAGTTAGTTCCAAGTATACCCTATGACCCAGCAACCCAGCAATCCCACCCCTGGGCTTATCTCCCCTCAAATTCTCACACCAAACCATTAGGGCGCTCAGAATTAACATAAGGATGTCCACTGCAACCTTGTTTATAGCAACACTAAGGAGTTGGGAGGCAACCTGAGTGTCCTATGCTGGGATAAGGATAGGCAAAACATGGTGGCTGCACACTGTGGAGTATTACTCAATAGTTAGACACCACACGGTAACTTAGTGCTTAGTGAAAAGAGAAACAGTGAGCTATACAACACAATTTACATAAACATTTGCAAAATTAATTAACCCAAATGAACAATGGGCGGGCTTTGTCTATATCCATATTAGGAGAAACCAAATGTAAAAAGGGATACTTGGGACAATCTAGGAAAATTTTAAATATAAATATTAGATGAAATTAGCATAGCATAGAGCTGATGCTTTAGAGGCAGTTAGTGAAAACCTTACAGGCGAATGACATTATGTCTGGGATTTGCCTTAAAAAACTCCAGCCCACCCACCCACCCACACAAAAAGTAGAGGGGCTACACAAAATAAGATCAGCAAAATGCTGATAACTGTCAATGCTGAGTAAGGGGTCCACAGGAGTGCATAATATTCTCTATTTGTGCCTTTTTGTAATTTTCCACAATAAAACTTTAAATTAAAGGGAAAAAGTAAATGTGCACTAAAAAGACATGTCTTGTAGAAAACAAACTTACGGTTACCAAAGGGGAAGGTGGGGGAGGGATAAATTAGGAGTTTGGGATTAGCAGATACAAACTATATAAAATAGATAAACAGCAAGGTTCTACTGTATAGCACAGGGAACTATATTCAATATCCTGTAATAACCTATAATGGAAAAGAATAAGAAAAATAATATACGTATATATAAAACTGAATCACTTTGCCGTATACCAGAAACTAACACAACATTGTAAATCAATTTTAAAAAAAGACATGTCTTGCAAGACATTTAAAAAAATATACTTCAATTAAAAAAAGACATGTCTTGCAAGAACACAAACAAACAAAGTAATACACACTAAACTCATTTACTGGTTGCCTATGAGGGAAGGGGAAGGGAGGTAACAGGGAATAGATAAGAACAGGGAAATAGATGGGGGGAAGGAGGTGTAATGGTATAGTCAGAGCTATGAGGAGGAACAGCATAAAAACACAGGAGAAAAGGATGGTGAATGAATGAAAATTTTAGAAGGGTGAAAACTGTTAAAAGGACATTAGTTTTGGCGACCTCAGAAAACTTGGGGCATTGGAGAGGAGGACAGAACCCGAAACACAGTGCACGAAGGTGGGCGACAGCAGGTTCAGACTCTATTTGTGGAAGTCTGTCCTGGAACACAGGGAAGAAACCCAACTTAAAAAACCACAACAGTGGGCTTCCCTGGTGGCGCAGTGGTTGAGAGTCCGCCTGCCGATGCAGGGAACACGGCTTTGCGCCCCAGTCCAGGAAGATCCCACATGCTGCAGAGCGGCTGGGCCCGTGAGCCATGGCCGCTGGGCCTGCGTGTCCAGAGCCTGTGCTCCACAACGGGAGAGGCCCGCATACCAAAAAAAAAAAAAAAAAAACCATAACAGTGAAGATGAGTGAAAGCTATTTCAGATATGGGCAAGGAGGTCCCTATACATGTTTTAAAAGTCTGAGTGTAGAGAGAAAGTGGAAACGACCAAGAGGAGAAGGAAAGGGGAGAGGTAAATAGAATTAGGTGGGAGACAAGCATGATTGTTATCAGAATTGGAAGGACAGTGCCTCTTCTGAAATTGCTGGGAAACAAAGAATTCAGTGAAAGAAACATAACAAAGTAGTTGGAGAGGAAGAGGTCAGCCTGCAGAATTTGTGCCTAACAGCATCAGAAAGCATACCAAGGAGTAATGATGATTGACAACCACCCTGGCATGCTCTACTTGGAGATAAGCTCAGTCCATCAATCTCCATAAACTTCTATTCTTTGTTCAAAGGTGACAGAGAGTAATCCAACTCAATATCTTCCTTTTTACCACCAGGAGGTGCCCTTGGACCACAGCTGAATTTTGAAAGCCGGAAAGTGCTCAGGGACTCAGTTGCCCAGTCCTCCAGCAGCTTGGTGTGGACACGGAGACCTGGCCTACCCCCAAAACAAGAAACCTCTCTGGGCCTCCTTTGGTGTGCTCACCACGGATCAGGAACTGTGAAGGACACAGAATTAGAGCTTAATTCTCTAGCTAGGGAGAGAAAACCAGCCTTCATGTATATGTGACAAAACTTGACTGATTAAGTGCAGCTAGGATAGAATGCCTCTTAGAGCCATCTCAGCTCTGCCATCTTTGGTTCTCCTTTTCCTCACCAATGCATAACGTGTTTGCAATTTAAAATTTTAAAATTATGTATAAAAGCTCTACCAAAAAAGACTAGGTTGGCTTAAAATGTGGCGCGCCTCTATTTCTAAAATGTTGTCCCAAACTGCCATAGAGGCTGGCAGGCGCTAAGAAAACCCCCTTTTAGGGGGCCCAGTGAGATAACCCTTTGTCATCTGCAGCCGCCTTCCTCCCCCACCCCCGCTCCCCCACATGGCCCAGCAGCACGATCCATTGTGATGCTTAGTGATTCTCCCGGGCTTCTGATTTCACCAAGTCAGTGGTTGCGTCCAGAAACCTTCTGACGCTTGAGCGACGACCGCCCACCTTCCAAGGTGGTGATTGGCTAGTCAGGCCAGGGGGCGGGCTGACCTCCGTCCGCAGTACCGTCACCAGCTGGCCCCGCCCTCGTATTGGGGCGACTGGGAGCAGAGCCCAGGGCAGCCATTTGTATGCGGCCGCGGGATTGGTCGTTCGGCTCCCGCGAGGGTGAGGCGGGGCAGCGCACACTCGCGCGTGCGTGAGCTGGCGCGCGAGAAAGGGCCCGGTCACGCTGAGGCTTGAGCGGCTGTCGCCATTTTGTAGGGTTCTCTCTGACGCGGGAGCCGCCGCCGCCGTCGCCGCCACCCGGAGGTGCGAGGGGTTCTTGTGGGTGTGTGGGGAGCCTGAGAGAGGGCCGGGCCGGACCCTGGCTGACGGGGTTGGCCCAGGGTTAGGGTTTCTCCTCTTGCTGCGGGAGGTCCGGGGAAGACACCGGGAGGAGGCGGGGCCGGGTTTCCGGAGGGGGCGGGGCAGAGGTCGGGTCGAGTCTTTGTTGGGGCGAAGGAACTGGAGTTGGGCCGCTGGGGCGTGGGTGTCCCAGGTTGGGGCAAAGGGGGCCTTTTAATTCTTAGAGTATCTTGAAAGGTGATGCGGCACGGAAGAGAGGTACACAGATTTCCCTCCAAAACCTTGTTACCAGGGACAGTAAGATATATGCCTCTTGCCCCCTGCTTGGACTCTTCTCTTACCTGCCCCCCAAAGAGTATTTTCAGCTAACCCTGTTACCTAAAATGCGCCTCATTTAACGGAGGTGATGGGCTGTGCACTGACTGCTGACACTCGACCTGTTCGCGTGTCACACACAACTCACACTACTCCTTAAGAGTAAACCTTTCCTCCCGCTGTTGAAAACATAATAAACGTCTCTGTGAAGATCTTGATGGTGCCAAGAACTTTGGAGGATTAATCCAAAATGCAATGCACTGAAATTTTTCCCTCCACCCCTAACTTTTGGAAATCTCCTTTCTTCTTTTCCAGGCTCTTGTCAGGATGGTGAAGCTGTTCATTGGAAACCTGCCCCGGGAGGCCACAGAGCAGGAGATCCGCTCACTCTTCGAGCAGTATGGGAAGGTGCTGGAGTGTGACATCATTAAGAACTACGGCTTTGTGCACATAGAGGACAAGACGGCGGCCGAGGATGCCATACGCAACCTGCACCACTACAAGCTGCACGGGGTGAACATCAACGTGGAAGCCAGCAAGAATAAGAGCAAAGCTTCAACCAAGTTGCATGTAGGCAACATCAGTCCTACTTGTACCAACCAAGAGCTCCGGGCCAAGTTTGAGGAGTATGGTCCAGTCATCGAATGTGACATCGTGAAAGATTATGCTTTCGTACACATGGAGCGGGCAGAGGATGCAGTGGAGGCCATCAGGGGCCTTGACAACACAGAGTTTCAAGGTGAACTGCTCTGGGGCCTGGGTGGCAAAACTGAGTGGGGTTTAGCTCTAGACAGAGGCAAGAACACAGGACTGTGGGGCTGGCAGGGTGGTTTCTTCCATTCCGTTTTAGCCGGAAATGATAGAAAGATTGTGTTTACCACGCTTAAGCACAGCTTACTCTTGGAGAAGCAAACACTTCTCCTTTCCAGATTTGCCGAGATGTTCCTCAGCAACTTTGTAGAATTGCAAACGGTGGGTTACTTTATCCTGCAGGCCATCATTCATTTGGGTGCTGTTGGAAGTTTAATCTGCCTGGGCAAATGAGTATCTCATGGGAGAAGGGAGGATAAAGGTCTGTGGGTTACCTGCTTTTTCTGTTATGACAAGGAAGCCTTTTGAGAGTTTCAGTGCTTAGGGTTTATACTCTTCACTGCCTTGGGTGATGGGCTGTGGGAAAGAACAATGAAGACATCTCGAAGAATCCCTATATTATAAATCTGGGTGGTGAATCTGGATTTGGGGGAGTATCCTTTGAATACTCAGGTTTGTTCGGTCTGAACTATACAAGCAGAGCCAAAAGCCATGCCATGGACTATTCTGCTCCACCTACTACTATTTAACCCTAAGGGGAAAAAAGGAAATTTCTAAAAATATTAGGTTGAATGGGAATGATGGTCCTGCTTCTGAGGAGATTCCAGTAAGGGTGTTGTATCGAATTACTTACGTCATTAATAAACATACATATGTTGTCATTAATACCACAAGAGGTTGACTGAAGACTCTCTAGGACTGTGCTAATATGGTGGCCACTAGCCACATGTGGCTATTAAATTGAAATTAAATAAATTTTAAAATTCAGTTTCTCAGTTGTGCTGCACACATTTCAAGCACTCAGAAGTCGTATGAGGCTAGTGGTTAGTGTGTTAGTGCAGGTATGGAACATTTCCATCGTCACAGAAAGTTCTGTTGTACAGCGCTGTTCTTCAAGTTTTTTGTTGACCCTATCATCTTGGACCGCACGTTTATAGCCGCTTTTCAGGTTCATAAATTAAGACCATTTTTTCTCTGAGTGCCACTAAAAGGGTCGTTAAGAAGTACTTAAGGGTCCTCTACTAAACCTAGAAAACAGAAAAGAGATGGAGAAGAGGAAAAATTGACCAGAAAAGGGTAAGAAAGTTTGCAAATAGTAGATTACAAATGGTGCGTCAGACATCTCTGGCCTCAGCCAGTGTTGTCTTGGCCTGTAGCTACTCTTTAAAGCACAGGGCAAAAGTTGTAGATACTTTCTACCGTGAACTTGTCGTATGACTTTGGACAAGTGTTTTAACCTCTCAACGCATCATTCTCCCCACTTATAAAATAGAATTAATGATCCCTGCCATACCTCCTTCACAGGATGGTAGTGAGGCTAGAATGAGGTAATAAGATGTGAAAGTGTTCTAACAGTAAAAGCACTGTATGATGAAAGGTGAGTGGTGATTGCAACAATGAGTGTTTCTGTTAAGGTTAGAAACTTACTTAAAATGTAATAGCTGGCTTTCATTATTAGCTGTTGCACTTCAGACAGCTTTAAAAATATTCTTAATTATTTTCATTTGATGAGGGAGGGGATCGTAAATGGACAGTGTTGGGGAAATGGGGGTTCTCTCTTGACAAGTAACAAGCAAAATGTAAAAAGTGCAATTAAACTCAGGTACAAAGTGCAGAGGTATTCTGGTATAATACTGCATGTTCTTGCCTATTTAATATGCAATTGAATAAAAGGGTAGGGGCCAAAATAAGTATATGGAAATCGGTTAACTGGGGGGAGTAGGCTTGAAACGAATGTTTGTTTTAATATAGTGAGTTTAATTACTTCAGGAAGCGGATATCTGAGTAACGCGATGATCCATGAGATTTTTTTTTTTAATGTCTTTATTGGAAGAAAAGGATCCTTTATTTGGTTTTTCATGTTCTTAGCCTGGGCCCCTGGAAAAAGCACTCAACGGCGTACGGTACGTACGTACAGACAGTTTTATAACCAGCTCTGTTTTTTTTCCAGATGACAAGAGAAAGTTTAGCATTGGATAATAAGTTGCAGTTTTACAGAAAATACAATCTAAATACCAATTTGTCACATTTTTCCATAAAGCCTTTTCAGTCATCTCCTAATGAAGGGGGCCTCTTAAGAGTGCCATTTTGGGCATCTTTTGAACCTGTATTTGTTAATGGCTTCCATAGGCTTCCTCATTGTATGACTTCTGAAAGAAAGCAGCATAATCTGAGTTTACCTGGGTCTTTCAGGATGCTTCCTCTCCACCGGCAGCAGTGAACTGAACCACTATTGAGTTAGCAAACAAGTTTGCATCGGAAGACCCTAAAGAAGCTATTCCCAAGTAAAAACTCAGGCAGCTGAATTGGGAATGATATGTAAGAGTTCAGATGTTTCGTTTTTCCCCCAATATATAAACAAGCATTAAATTGGAGTACAGTTGTATATCAGCTATATCCCTTGATAGGAGCTCAGCAATGAGGACCCCAAGTTGCCCTCCTCTTTGTTTCAAAACAAAACACTTTTGTGGGGGCTGGTTTTCTGGGAAATGTTGGCAACACATCTCAGTAATGTTTTGGAGATCTCAGAAAATCTTTAAGCTTTTGGCCTCTCCAAAGCCAAAGTGTAGTAGAGTGGTAGAATTTAATCTTCTTTCAATTTTCTTTGGCCTGGATCCTTCAGGTAATAGAGAAGCACAGTATATTTCAATTATAAGAACTTTAGGGCAGGCCCCCCACCCCCGGGCTCTAATGCCTGATGATCGGAGGTGGAGCTGATGTAATAATAACAGAAATAAAGTGCACAATAAATGCAATGCGCTTGAATCATCCAAACCCCTCCCCACCTATCACCCTGGTCTTTGGAAAAACTGTCTTCCACAAAAAAGGTCCCTGGTGCCAAAAAGGTTGGGAACCGCTGCTTTAGGGGATTTAAATTAAAAGCCTAGTTACAACCTCTGGAAAGATTATGTGAAAAAAAAAACCTGTCACTTCTGTTGCAGATCTTTTAGTTCTAGGTAAAAAATTTTTTTACCTGAATCCTTTTCACAGCTACTATAGAGGTAGATTTTGCCACAGATGTTTATAAACTTCTGAGTTCCGCTCTAATCAGTGGTGAAGACTGGATGTATTAATAGAAACATCAAAGTGGGGGCAAAAAAAACTGGGTTTTATTTCTCAAAAAAAATGGACCCATAATCTATAAAGGAGCAAGTTAAATATTTTCCTTAAAAGTGTACCTCTAGTTCTCTGGATTGGCTGTTCTTTAGATTGGCATTGTTACACTGACTTCAGAATTGGAGCACAGTTTGTGTCTTTCACACAGATTAATGTCACCGTGCATGTTTGAAAGCCAAGTTAACTTGTAATCCTCCAGTCTAAATTATAGGGAATTCTACATTTGGGATATAAATTGGGGCAAAAATCCGTGTGTTTCTGTTCTAAGCACAGTTAGCATTTGGCCCATAATAACTTCTAAGAATGGGAGTATCTAAATCTCTGAAAATACTGGGATGGCTAACTGCTGCTTTCAGAGAATTATTGCCATTTGGTATCTGTTGATGGTATCAGTGTTGATGGTGGATGCTGCCTCTCTACTAGCAGCTGGAAGTAAAAACCTGAGCACCTTTGTTTCTGCTAAAGAAAGGGTTTTAAGTTTGAGGCGGCAACTGCTAGAAACTGGGGTGGTAGGAATGTTGGACATTGGGCAGAACTGAGTTTGACTAAAGTGATATTACTGCACTAACCCGCTCCCCTCTCAGGGTCAGTGCATGGCGCTGTTCTGGCTGCCGTCCTGAATCGGGCTGTTTCCAACAGGATGGTGGAGCACGAGGCCTCCTATCGCATAGCTGCATCCAGAACAAGGTCTGTTAAAGAGAGAGCAACTTACTGATCGTGGAGGGGGGATTTGTTCTGAGCCGCCCTTTAGAGTGATGTTCTCTACGTCTGTACTGGCTGCCTTTTGGCTACAATTTGTAAAGCATTGACTTGTCTCCAAAGTCTTAGGCAGTTTGGCACTAAATGCTGCCAAGAATATGCCTTTCTCAAACTGCTTTTAAAGACCTTGGATGCTTTCATTAGTAAGGGTCCCTGGGCTTGATGGTACACACGGCCAGGGCAAAGATTGTTTCTTCTCTTAGCTGTTCCTCGTTCTGGTCATTTTCTGGAAGTATGGATGTGGCTTGTTTGTATGGGTGCCCAGAAGCCTTTAGGCAAATGCTGCATTTTTCTAACAAGTAGATAATCCCCTATAAAGAATTGTAAACTACATAGTAGGATGAAATGCCGATCATTCCATTACATGGAAGCACACTGTCCCTAAGAAACCAGTACTGCTTCAAGATCTAATTCTAGCTGTTGACAGGCCTAGGTCAAGTAGTTTTCTTTTCCACAATAGGCATGGGTTCACCCTTGCTGAAAAAAGTGGAGGTGGGGTTGAAATGTGGAGGGTCTTATAACAAACTCTTAGAGGTACTAGAGTTGAAGCAGATGATGAGCCAGGTATGATTTGTGTACCCAACATAGCCTTCTGGTGACACCTGCAAAAATGGCTGGAGGAAACAAGATGGACAGCATATTGCTGGGGTTTTTTTGTTTGTTTGTATTGTTTTTGCGGTACGCGGGCCTCTCACTGTTGTGGCCTCTCCCGTTGAGGAGCACAGGCTCCGGACGCGCAGGCTCAGTGGCCATGGCTCACGGGCCCAGCTGCTGCGCGGCATGTGGGACCTTCCCGGACCGGGGCACGAACCCCTGTCCCGTGCATCGGCAGGTGGACTCTCAACCGCTGTGCCACCAGGGAAGCCCTGCTGTGGTTTTTAAGCTACAGTAAATGCTCAGGCCTTATGTGGCCCTGAGTAAATCATTGAGAGGTAGGATGCTTTCCTCTGGCATAACTGAGGTTTTGTTGGATATTTGATTTGGAAAAACTGTCAGGTTTTGAATGGTTAGAATTAATAATAGTCTTAGTAGTGAAAAGTGGAAACTTTCTCAATTTCTGTGTTGGAGAAGAAAGTTGTGGAGACGGAAGTAGGAGGGAATCCCAATCTACTGGTGTAAGTAGAGTATTGACTGGTTTCTGAGAACTTAAATTTTCTAGCTCTCGTCTGTTAAAACTTCAACTTCTTTGGGAGGGGATTGCTGAAATAGGGTTGCAGGAGTGTGCGTATGTTTGCATGTCTTTTGCCAACTAGTTCACTTTCATTTTGGGGAGGATAAAGAATGTCAATGAGTTATAATAAATCTTCTTACGTCTATTTCCTCAAGGCAAACGAATGCACGTGCAGTTGTCTACCAGCCGGCTTCGGACTGCCCCTGGGATGGGAGACCAGAGTGGCTGCTATCGGTGTGGGAAAGAGGGGCACTGGTCCAAAGAGTGTCCAGTAGATCGTACGGGTCGTGTGGCGGACTTTACCGAGCAGTATAACGAACAGTATGGAGCAGTGCGCACACCTTACACCATGGGCTACGGGGAATCCATGTATTACAACGATGCGTATGGAGCGCTCGACTACTATAAGCGTTACCGAGTCCGTTCTTACGAGGCAGTGGCAGCAGCAGCAGCAGCTTCCGCGTACAACTACGCAGAGCAGACCATGTCCCATCTGCCTCAAGTCCAGAGCACAGCTGTGACCAGTCACCTCAACTCCACTTCTGTTGATCCCTACGACAGACACCTGTTGCCAAACTCAGGCGCTGCTGCCACCTCAGCTGCTATGGCTGCTGCCGCTGCCACCACTTCCTCCTATTATGGAAGGGACAGGAGCCCCCTGCGTCGTGCTGCAGCTGTGCTCCCCACAGTTGGAGAGGGCTACGGTTATGGGCCAGAGAGTGAGCTGTCTCAGGCATCAGCAGCTGCACGGAATTCTCTGTATGACATGGCCCGGTATGAGCGGGAGCAGTATGTGGACCGAGCACGGTACTCAGCCTTTTAAAAACTGGAGGTGAGAGTGGGGTGGGTGTGGTTAAGAGATTCCATTTAGTTCCCCAGGAGGGAGACCTGTGCCACATAGAGGAGGCTAAAGCCATCCGTTTGCTGTCAGGACAGTATCCAAAAGGTATAAATTGCATGTTAGTCTTAAGTATTTCTCTAACTGAGGCCAGGGGTTCATTTGGCCTGTCGAGGTTTTAGTTTACAACTCCAACCAACCAACTTGTTCCTTCTGAGAGAACAACAGCAACTCAGTTTGTTAGTGAGAATATTTTTCTTTAATCAAGTGTAAGCAGATCTGGGTTACAGAGACATAGTTAAGAGAACTAACATTTGTTGAGTGCCCTCTTTGTACATTATATCATTTAATTATACAGCTGGCCTTTAAGATATTTTCTTTTATGGAGAAGGGAACTAAGGCTCAGAGGGGTTAAGTCCTTTGCCTAAAGTCACCTGGTAATTGAGAGGTAGAGCCAGAATTCAAACTCAGGCGTGCCTGAGTCCAAAACCACTTTCTCTTTCCACCACCAAAGTCACTGTAGTGTACGCTGAAGAGTACAGGTTCAGGAGTTAATAATGAATGTCACCAGTGAGAATTTAAGCTGTAACTTCAGACATCCAATTTGCTAATAAAACTACTACTTCGGTCATGAGCCTTTATCAGAGGAAACTCTTCTAACATACCTATAAGCCAAATAAAATCCTCTAAATTCTAGGTGTTTAGTTCCAGGATACTTGCCTGAAAGCAGAACGTTTTGATGCCATTGTCCCATCGAGTCCCTTCCTTGTTAGTAATCCAGAGCATCGTGTTCTGTGTGGGCACTTAAGCCGTATTTCTGCATGGCTTATGATGCTGTCATTTAGAGCCTGACACTTAACATTTCTTCCAGCAAATTGTTTTTTTTTTTTTTTGTTTGAGAGGAACATTTAAGGAGCTAGATAAAACAGGTAATTTTCTGATGTGTGTAAGTCCCATTGATGGTAACCTTGCAATTTTTCCTACTTCAGAAAATGTATAGCAAAGATGTTTGAATGTCAAGAATAACTAGGAGTATCTAGAGATTGATAAATCTCTTCATCTGAGTGGAAATTGCATTATAACTTTCTATTCTCATAGTTTTCCTTGTACCTTGAAATTGACCATCAGTAGAACTGGAGGCCTCGTAGCAAAGTTAAATTGAGTTACCACTGAGTTTTCAGGGTTCCTGAGTACCCTTTTGGTATATGTGTAGAAGAAAACCAAGTGACAGGAATTTGCCCTTTTATGTAGTGGGAAGCAAATATGATGCGAACCTGTGATAAGTTATGTCCTATATGACCATGACAAGACGGATCCCCTGAGACCGCTGTGTAGTGTGTGTTCATGTGCATGAAGAGGACAATCTTACAACTAGTGTAGTTTGCCATTTTACTTTTTTTACTTTTATTGCTGCTGGATCTGCCATGAAGTAGGATATGCCTCTAAAGTAAGGTGGTATCTTCTATCGGATAACTTATATTTCTCTCAGATATGTTCCAAAGTTAAATATTAAATTAGTGTATATTGTGGTCTTTAAAGGGTATTGCTAAGGTATTTTTTAAGTGGTTTTTGACTGCGAGCAGTGGTTGTTCAACTAACCTCTTTTTAGTGATGACTTTTAAAGAAACTTACCTTCCAGGTGTGAACCTCAAATGGACTGAATAACCTTGAGTTGGTTGCAGTCCCAGGAGCCTGATGTTAATGAGGCTGCCAGGATGAAATACTCCAGAACTGTTGGGGATCCAAATTCGGGTCTCACCCTAGCAGAACTGATTCAAGAACGTCACAACTTTTGAAGTCGATTGGCACAGATCAAGACCAAGATTTGGCCCTTTGTCTGTAATAAGTAGAGGAACTTGGTGTGAGTTAACTTTTTTTTTCCCCCAGCCATTGGTGTCTGGAGTTCCCATCATCAGTGGAAGAATTAGAGAATTTAGGATTTCTTCTTTTGATTTGGTAAGGGAGATTTGGTCAATTAAAGGAACTACTGGAATTATGGCTCTAAATCTGTGACAGTATGATATGCAGATATGTTGGAGGATGAATGAACCACTCCTTGATACCCTTTGTGATTGTGATACCCATTTCTGAAAATTTGTTCACTATGAAAGATTAAAAATGAGACAAATTTAGAAGACTGCAGTTGGCCATATTTGAGACCTTGGCATCTTCTGATTGTTCTGGATAAATTATGGTTCTTGATAATATCTGTATGCCCTTTGTTGCAGCGACAGTAGCCTTGTATCACAGAAGTAGTCTTGCCTAAAAGATTGGTGAGAAAGTGAGAAAGATGTGTTTATCACCAACACAGCAGTCTTCCAGATAGACTGCTTCTTGTTCTATATATAGCTAAAAGTAAACTCCTATATATAGCCATAGAAGACTCCTAGGTAATTATATGAGTTGTCAGTTTGATCCGGTCTGACTTGGATTTGTTTTGTTCTGTTCTTTTCTTTCCCCCTGGAATACAGGACGGGACCGGGGCCCTTGTACTCGGAGCCAAGCTGCTCTCCAGGCATTGTGTAAGCCTCTTGTGTTGTGCTCTCTTTCAGGTAGGATAATTGCGGACTGAACCCTCGGGCTGCGGTCATATATGAGAACTTGCTCCGCGCGGTCCCCTTTGCCGGGATGTTTCCATTGCTTCATGTTTCAGTAAACAAAGGAGTTTGTGACCAACTATGTTTTCTTTCTTAATTTAATTCTTCTAAGTTGACTTTTCTTTCCTCCTGATACTAGTCTCTGTAGCCTTTCACTCTATTCCTTATGTTCTCAGCCTCTGAGCAGCCCTAGGTAAGGATTATGCTGGCATCCCCTTTTTCCTGTACAGTGGAATCCCTCTTATCTTGCTTTCCTTAGGAGTTGAACCCTTCTCCCTGTCTACCTGCAACATCTCCTTTCCCTTTAAAATGACCATGTAGTGGCAAGCAGCCTTTTACTCTTCTCTGTTAGCTCTGGACTCTAACATTGAAGCTAATCTTCTGAAACTGCTAGGACCATTGGGGTTTTGGTGGTTGTTGTTTTGTTTGTTTTGTTTTTTTATGTCTGACCTGTGATCATGGTACAGCATTAGCTGAAATTTAGCCTTGTTTTACTCCACTTCTCCCCCCTTTTTTTTTTTTAATATTTTGACAAATAAACGTTTCTAACACTTAAGTATCTTTTTGTATTTGTGTGACTGTTATTTACCACCCATATCTTCTGGTTCTTTTTCAGTTGTGCTCAAACCACAAACTTCAGTGACAGAATAGATATCTGAAATTTAGATGTACAAGGAAGGATTTAGTGAGATAAGTAGTATGGCTGCAGCAATAAGTGGAGATAAGTGAGCCAGCATCTTGAGACATTGATAAATATGCTATACCTGGTAGTCAGCTGCTTCTCTCTAAATAACCAGAGCTGCTTTTCCCCTTTTATAGGCCAGCAAACCCAGGTTAGTAGTGATAGAAGTAAGCCCCACAGAGAGAACCCTGCACCAGGAAATGGCTGAGCCAGAACAAAGGACCCGTCAGATTCTCACTTCGACTTCATAGTACATGTTCATTTAAATTCACAATTTAAACTAGGATTAGACTTTGGCTAAAGTGAATACAGTAGTTACGATGATACGGAGAAACGTGTATTTTGAGCAGAAAAGCAAGTAGGGTATTCGTAACTGGCAGTGATAATATTCTGCAATAAAATGTGTCCTCTAGAATTTTTTTTTAAAGATTTATGGACATGCTATTTTTTTATCATTGCTTAGGTCCTCATAAAACAAGTTTAATGATGGACTCAACCCCACTTAAGCTTTATTATATCCTGTATCACATGGTGATATAAATTCTGTGAAGCTTTATCTAACAATCATACAGTACTTTCCCCACATATTTTGTACTTCTTAAAATACTTTTGACATAGGTGAAGCAAAACTTCTTGATTTTTGGGGGTAGGATACAACAATCTGGAGAGGTTAATCTCTCTATGCACACACTCCAACTAGTGATGATGTATATACAATATTCGTGTTAGCTCCAGTATTCCCCAAGGAGGCGGGATTGTCCTTGTTTTACAAAAAAGAAGGCAGAGATACTGGGATTTCCTTGTGATTGATCTGCAAGGCATCGGGCAGAGCAAAGAAAGTATGTACAGCTTTTGCTAGCCTCTCCAAAATCTCTGGTCCTCCTCTGTGCTAAGTTAACATAGAAATTTAACATATCTTGATTTCCATATCACTGGCAGGACAAGCTAGAAAAAAAATTGGATTCTGCAAAACAGTTTTACGTCACTGTCCAGTAAAACTTTTGGCAGTGTTGGAAGTGTTCTATATCTGTGCTGTCCAATTTGTAGCTGCTAGCTACATGTGCCTGTTAAGTACTTGAAATGTGCCTAGCGAAGCTGAGAAACTGAAGTTTTTATTTTAATTATAATTAGCCACATGTGGCTAGCGGTTACTGTATTGCACAGCACAGTTTAAATGGTAAAGTAAAGACTTCTGTTAGTACAGCTGTTAAGATTCCGTACTTCCACTGCAGGGGGGCACGAGTTTGATCCCTGGTCTGGGAACTAAGATCCTGAATGCTGTGTGGTGTGGCCAAAAAAATTAATTAATTTAGAAAATAATAAATGGTAAAATATTGTAAGTTTCTTAGGAGAAAAGCCTTGAAGAAATCATATAAAATATTTCTCCCTTAGAAAATCCTTTCACTCTACCCAAAACAGATGACACTGGGAAAGGGGTTAGTTTTCAGCCAACATAAGAGGACTGTTGAATAGGAACAAATAGGTTTATTTCTAAACCTCAGTTTAGAAATTGCATGTTGTGGGTACAAAATTCCTTTTATTCACCAAGACCAAGTTGCTCATTATAGACCATTTTAGAGTCCCACTAGGCCTCTCACACTAAAAGCTCTGGAATTCATTGATCAGTGATTTGAATTGCTTCTGGGCCAAGATTTGGGTGATGAATGAGACACGTGATTCCTAGTTGAGAAGCAAACTTTGACCGCGTCTGTCATAAGCACAACAGAGGGACAAGTACAGGGTGCCTTGAAAACATGTAAATAGTGACTGACTTTGGGGGACAGGTTGGGGGGGGCAGTTGCTATTCCAGGTTGAAACAGCATATGTGAAGGATCCTGATCAAGGAAGAGTGTGGTGCCCATTAGGAACCAGAAAGGGAGCTCTGTGGCAGGAGAAATCTGTGTAGCAGAAATCTGAAGAGGTAACTTCCAGCACAGTTCACGAGAGACTTGTGGGCTGTGTTAAGGAATTTCATCTTTAAGACTAACTGGGGGACTTCCCTGGTGGCGCAGTGGTTAAGAATCCACCGCCAGTGCAGGGGACACGGGTTCCAGCCCTGGTCCGGGAAGATCCCACATGCCGCGGAGCAACTAAGCTCGTGCGCCACAACTACTGATCCTGCGCTCTAGAGCCCACGAGCCACAACTGAGCCTGTGTGCCACAGCTACTGAAGCCCGCGTGCCTAGAGCCCGTGCTCCTTGACGAGAGGCCACCACAGTGAGAAGCCTGTGCACGGCAATGAACAGTAGCCCCCGCTTGCTGCAACTAGAGAAAGCCCACGCGCAGCAATGAAGATCCAACACAGCCATAAATAAATAAATAAATAAAGACTTAATGCAAGCTATTAAAGGGTTTTAAGTTTGAAGGTAACAGGATCAGATTCATTTTTCCTGAAAGATCATTGTGATTGGACAGAACAAAAGTGAATAGCATTACACTCCAATGTTCATAGCAGCATTATTTACAATTGCCAAGGTATGGAAACAACCTAAACGTCCATCAACAGATGAATGGATAAAGGAAGATGTGGTATATAAATATATATAATAGAATTCCACTCAGCCATAAAAAATGAAATTTTGCCATTTGCAGCAACATGGATGGACTTGGAGGGCATTATGCTAAGTGAAATAAGACAAATACTGTATGATACCACTTACATGTGGAATCTAAAAAATACAACTAGTGAATAAAACAAAAGGAAGCAGACTTAGTGATAGAGAGAAACCAACTTGTGGTTACCAGTGGGGAGAGGGAAAGGAGAGGGGCAGTACAGGGGTGGGGGTGGGGGGGAAGTGTTATAGGATTATATGAAATTGTGTGAAACTTTTGAAAATTGTAAAGCACTATTGAATTTAAAGAATTCAATTTTTAAAATACTTTTTAAAAGTTTAAAAGAAGTGAATAGTGAGATTTGCCTGATATGTAACAGAGGTCTCTCCCCTAATCATGAGGCCGATAGAGTTGATGTTTTGTTTTAAAGGAAGACAAAATACCTCAAAGACAGGAAAACAACCATTCATAAGGAAATGTGATTCAAGGGGGCAGCGTTTAAATCCTGAGGCTGACTGATCAAGCCTTTACAGGGATGGGTTGTGCCTCTCCCACTCTAACATTGCTGAGCACCTGTTGCGGGCCAGGCCCTACCTAAGGGTTTTACACTAGGCACCACTGAATGCTGAAGGGCAAGGGAGATGAGATAGATCTCAGAGATCTTAAGAGATGAGAAAGCATGACCAAAACAGTAACTGCTATAAGAAATGTAGGGCTTCCCTGGTGGTGCAGTGGTTAAGAATCCACCTGTCAATGCAGGGGACACAGGTTCGAGCCCCGGACCAGGAAGATCCCACATGCCGCGGAGCAACTAAGCCCGTGCGCCACAACTACTGAGCCTGCACTCCAGAGCCCACAGGCCACAACTACTGAAGCCCACACACCTAGAGCCCGTGCTCTGCAACAAGAGAAGCCACTGCAATGAGAAGCCTGCACACTGCAACGAAGAGTAGCCCCTGCTTGCCACAACTAGAGAAAACCCACGCGCAGCAACGAAGACCCAACACAGCCAAAAATAAAATAAATAAATTTATATATAAAAAAAGAAAAAATGTAAAAGCATTGTGAGAGTTCAGAGGACAATTATTTATGCAATCCTACCAAAACTCTGTAACTTATTCTCGGTGCCTTAAGATTAAAACTCTTTTTTTAATATTTCTCTCCTTTGAAATGAGAATACTTATCAGTAGTCCACAAAGAGGGTGAAATGTTTGTGAGGGATGAAGGCCGAGAGGACATCCCTGGCCCAGTTTGGAGAAAAGAAAAAGCTAGAATAATACCTGAGGCCTTCCATCTCCATGAATTTCTTCTTGAGCCGTCAGCTATTGGAGGTGGGGTTCTGGGCACCACTCAAGCAAGGCCCAGCCACAGCAGCAGCACTCTGAGGTACTTCAGGTACAAGGCAAAAGAAACCGCAGACTGACTCAAACGCTGCAGCTGGGAGAAAAGTATCCAGATTCCCCCAGGTGGTGTCTCTGAACTCCTGGCTGTTACTCAACACCTTCCTTAGGGCAGTGGGGGGAAACAAACAGCTACCATTTGCAGCAACATGGATGGACTTGGAGCCCGTATCACTGGCAGGACAGTCTGGCAAACGCTCCAGCCTGGCAAACGCTGAGACCACTGCAGCCCAAACCCTGCCTCTTAGGCCTGTGGCGGACTCCAATCTCCCCTTTCCTCCAATCTCTGGCCACACGATGAAGTTAGACAGTGTGGCACAGAGAGATAAGACGCCCTCAGGGCACTCGATGCACTGCACAGAGCTTGTCCACAGGGCAGGAAAGGGTTTGCTGGCTGCAAGGTAGCCCAGGAAAGGGAAGCAACGTGCCTAAGATTGGCCTCATGGCTTGTCAGAATTTGGCTCACAAATCTGGGCCTGAGATGAAGTGTCTCTGGCATACCTGGGAGGAGAAAGGAGGAAATAAAAATACATTCCTAGGAAGAGCTGTCAGCTTTGTCAGAGGAATCCACCTCAAGGCTTTCTTAAGATCAGGGCTATGCTCTATTGCCAAGGAGAACCGAAGCGCAAGAAATGACAGTTCAGTCCCAGGAACCCACAAAGGAAGAGGGAAAGGTCTGGCAAGATGATTTCAGTCAGCAGTGTCTTAGGTTTGCAGGCCCTCTGAGGATCCAGGCCAAATTTAAACCGCACAACAGCCCTACAGATTTAATGACACCCATTATCTCTACTAATCCACAAGAACCCAATGAGGTAGCATCCTTTGGCTCCCCTGGTAATTAAAGCAACTGAAGTTTAGAAAGATTAAATAATTTGGCCACCCTCCCCACAAACACACAGTGGTGAGGAAAAAAGACCCCCGATTCC